ACATAGTGTTTAACTATGTGCATTTTTGTTCACTTTTGAAGCCCACGTATGTCAGGTTAAACGGTTGTTCAGTGCTTCTAATATTGAGTTCCTAAAGGAACAGGGGCGTAGGAAGCTAGAGTCTACCTCGAAACCGGAGTACAACGCTGCAGTAGGGGCGGGTAGTGACGACATGTACGAAGGAGAAGTCGATCTTGGGTAGAAACTATAAGTTATTGCGTTCGCTGAGAAGTTGGTGAATAGATACGGCAACCGTTTGGAGCTCGATGAGTTGGAAATTGATAAACAGAAGTGGATGGAGCCGATTGCTGAGGAGGAGGATGTGGCCAGGCCAGAGGATGAGACTTTCGAGGGACGCAGATTTGATTTTGAGGGCAAGGAACGGTATGGCTCGGATGGTGGAGGAAAATACGATCCGGTAAGTGGACTAAGGCTGGCTGTGTGGAAAGTGAAGAATATAGTAGGTGTTGTATCATCATGGAGAGGAGCCTGGAAAACCGGGGTACACAGTTCAGGAGTTGTTGGTATTATCGGACTCGAATAATGCTGGCCAGAGACAGCTGGCTATCCGTAAGGGGGAGGGTGGTAGTGGCGGAAAAATGCGGGAAAAAATTTCAATTTTTTTAAAAATTTTCCTCTAGTTTTATCTATGCCTCGTATTATCGCGCTTTCTCTGTCTTTGGTTGAAATAAAATTTACTCCTTCCGAATTCCCTGGGGAGAATTTTTGTCTCTCCAGGCTTTGTATCGATGGCATTTAGGTACTCTGGGGAACATCATTGCAAATGACGCGGATGTCAGTGGACTTTGGATAAGGCACAGACAAGTTCATGTCAGATTTGCGGTATCTGTTTCACACGCTAATATCAACGTAATACTACTGAGCTTACATTGGAGTTTTACTCTAGTGATATGAAGAACAGTAGTGAAAAATATCGCGTTTTTCACACAGTACTACGCGTGAAATGGGTGAAACTCTATTGTGCTACCTTGTGGTCGTACCACACCTTTTCTACATCACATTTTGACAGGTACGGCATGCTGCCGTTGCCTCTCTAGAGCAGCTCTTGGTCCGCTTCCCCAGCTTCAGCAAGGATCTGGCTGACATACCAGAATTCCTCATAGCCCTTGAGAACGTCGTCAAACAGGAGATGGTATGTAGGAATGGTCATCACCGCTGTTGTTGTTAATGGTCTATCTGTATCTCCACGGTTTTCTCTATTGCATAGTACTGATGAGCTCGTCGGGAGTTTAATCCTAAACTGTGATCTTATGTCAGTTTTCGGTGGACGAAGAGGAAACCCCAGCAATGGTCTCCCTGGCACACGTCCTGGCCTTACTATTGCCGTTGGCGAGCAAGCTCCAGGATATATGCGCTGATGTGGTGAACTTTGTGGCTGAGAAATACAGGGTAATAGCATAAGCAGTAGGGTCTAGGAAAAGGGGAGTGGTTTAATGTTGTTTATTATTTTCGTTACCACTCCTTGTGTACATCGTAGTTGTCCTCGCAATGTCATGGTGACGATACGAAAATTTTGAGGAAATTTCGGCAAATTCTCATTCATTTCTGTACACTTCTACCCGAATTCGTATGTAAACTCCTATAATTAGTGAGGAAATTCATGAGCTCAGCTGAGGCTTAGCGAACGAATATTTCAACACTGTCTCGGACAGCTCAGTTCAGTGGGTATTATGTTGTCTCCTTTTAGGTGGCTACATGCACTTTACTTCTCCCCTATGTTGACGACTACTATCGAGCATCACAGGTAGGAAGGCGAGATCATCGTTGCAGTGGTTGAATAAGAAGTGATGACAGATTGGTGCTATGAGGGTATTGGGGGGGCTTGAGAGACCTAAGCA